AACAAAAATCAAAATCTGAAAGTGTACATCCCTCTCCCTGAAGCTCTTTATTGTCCCCCAGAGACTGTACAAAGATTACATAATGCTTAATAAAAGATTGAGGTAGCCTCCAGCTTGGAAAGGGAAACCAATGTGGAAGTGCCTTACACTGGCATTCTTTCTAACAGCCAGCAGGGGGCGACTCCTCTGTTTGCAAAAGGAAGTCTGGCTATATAGAAATGACCCTACATCTCATTGGATTTATTACCTAATAAACATTCCCCCAATAAGTTTACACTCTTAATTGCTGGATTAAAGTCTCTTTAAAACTGCATTATGTGCAATTTGTAACTCATGGTCCCATTTAAAGTAAAGTGAAAGCAGGGTTTGTTGTACAGCAAGGCTACCTTGTGATGGACAGGTCACTACCGTGTTACTGTGTGCAAAACAACAGTCCACAAACCAATGTCATGGTGCTACGTCCCCTTTGTCTTTTATTTCCTCCCACCGTTAAAACATTTACTCCAACCGCAAAAAAGAAAGTGAAGCTAAAAGCAGCTTTCATTTGTGGTTTCACCCTGGATTCAAGCCCTACTTCCCTGAGTAAAAGTCCTCGGTGTAACCCATTGTACTACTATATCCTACTGCTGTTGTGGACTTGTTGCCATACATACTATCTCACCTGATCAGGTAAAAGAACTGTGATTGGCTAAAATCTTCTGTCAAGGGCTAGATTTTCCAAAGTCAGTCCATCCATCCGTCCATTTTCTGGTCGTCAGTCTATCACAGGGCCACATAGAGACAGACAACCAAACATACTCACATTCACACCTACGGACAATTTAGAATCACCAATTAACCTCAACATGTTTTTGGACTGTGTGGGAGGAAGCCGGAGAACCTGGAGAGAACCCACGCTGCACGGGGAGAACATACAAACTCCACGCAGAAAGATCCCAGGACAGGATTCAAACCTTCTAACTGTGACAGTGCTACCCACCTGTTCCAAAGTCTAATTGTTGAACTATAACATGCTGAAAGGTCAGTATGCAATTTTTGTCCAATGACAACAAAAAAAAGCTTTTTTGTTTTTAAAAGAAAAAGAAATCCTGCCTGCCCTAGTTTTAATGGGCCGTGACACACCAGGGTTGATTTCCTTCCAACAAGAAGTAAGACAACTAACCCACTGAGTGTAAAAGATGTTGAGGGTAAGATGCCTGTATTTATTTGTTTTCATGTCTATGTGCAATTTTACATTTCTGCCACTTTTTTATTATTATTTTTAAAGCTTTTAAATACTGTTAGTTTGAGAATGTGAGAGAACTTGAAGGACTGCTGCATGTCTACATATACGTATCAATGCTGAAAGTTTATGTTCCATAGTTTTAAAAATGTAAGGATGTGAAAAACCTGCCAAAATTCAGTATTATACATCTATGACTACAATGTACTCAGAGCTTCGCATCATGTTGGTTAATCTGCTGTTAAGCTGCCAAGTGCCTGCTAGACTGAGTAATTTCTATTTATGAATGTTTACATTTTACAAGGTTTTTGTTGTGTATGATGTAAAAGTATGTGTATATAAGCCTGTAAATAGATGCAATAAATTTTCTGAACGAGCATAAACCACATTCACAAACATTTCTGGCTCATTCATTTATTCGCTGTGGACAATATAGTTCCTAATCACAGGCAAACATTAAGAGACATAAAAACGTGGTTTCTTTTTTACAGAAAGCACTTCAGTTCTATTTAATTCTCTCACTTCATTAGCCCTGATGTGTTGATAATTAGGCTTTTGCAGAACAATAAAATCAAGCAGTCAAGTATCAGTATCGACGGATATGTCAACACTGCATCTCTATTGCGTCTCTTCAGCGTTTTGTCCCACTGCCACCACCTCTTCAGCTACCTCCTCTACCTCACTGGCAGGAGGCAGCAGCTCTTTGGCTTCTGCAGCTCTCTCCTCCAGAGTCCCCTGCAAAGCCTCCTTCAGAGTGAGGCCCCCAGCCTGAGAGTCTCTCACCACACCCTGCTCTACTGACATCTCCGGATGGTGCCTCTGCAGGTGCTTCACCACCTGGAATTTCTGTTTGGCCCTGTAGGAGCAGTGTCGACAGCAGAAAGGCTGCTGCTTGGTGTGAGACAGGTAGTGATGTCTGAGGCCTGCCGGCCACCGGAAGGCCTTCTGGCACAAGCCACACGTGTACGGCCGGTCATCAGTGTGCTGCCGCTGGTGGGTCTTCAGTATGAAGCTTGTCTTGAAGGCTTTGCCGCATTTCTCGCAGACAAAAGGGCGCATGTCACAGTGCTGCGTGTCGCGGTGTGCACGGAGGGCGTCTGCTCTGTTGGTGCGGTAGTCGCAGTCGTCACAGGCGTATGGCTTCTCTCCTGCACATGACATCAATCATTTGTCTTTTGTTTTTCTTGTTTTCTATCCCCTATCTATCAGATCATGGTAATCCTAGGAGCTTCAGTTAAAAGTAACTGGACTTTTTTTTTTGGTTATGAAGACATTTCACCTCTTATCCAATAGGATTCTTCAGAACTGAACATGAGAAATCTAACTGACATATACTGAAGCGCTTAGGATCACTAAATCAATCATCAAATTCTTCATTTTGTTAAAACATGCCTCAGTACTATAATCAGGAACTTCGGTACCTGTGTGCTTGGTCATGTGGTACTTCAGCTGAGTCGCCCACTTGCATTTGTAGCCGCACTCTGGACAAAGGTACTTCTTCTCTTCTTGGTGAACCCTCATATGGAGCTATCAAAAAAAAAACATAGAAAATACAGTCACTGTCATAATGTCACATTTTGCTGCCCCACAATAATAAGTATATTATTATCTATAGTAGGTGCCGGAATTAAATGCATCCGCTTTCCTAGCTCTCTTTCCATCCATCTACGACTAATATTTACATCAAAATCAATACAACACACTTTGTTTCTCATCATGGCAGGATTGAGTTACTGTCTCATTTGTGGTTTTCAGTACAGATTAGATCTACAGGGAAATCAGTGAGATTGTGTGGTCATCTTACTAGCCACGGACAGGCTGGAGTCAAGGGTTGATGTTTTTCCTATAATTTGTCACCCCTCTGCCAAGTGCTTTCACTTGGTTTAGCACTTTAGTCCGATCTGCAGCTTCAGGGTGGGCTGTGTGCAATACAAAACTACAATGCACTAATTCGATATTCAGAGTTATTGTAGTTTGGTTTTCAGCTCCATGACAATGATGATGATGTATGTTTATATGGTATAACTTTTTCTTTTTTTTTTTCAACTTAAACAGATTTTTAAAAAAAAGTCATTTTAAGGTTTAAATAAAATTAAATAGTTCATGCATTTGCAGATTATTATGGCCTGTTCAACACAATATTGAACATGATAATGAGGTTAGGTCTGAATGTAAACCTTCCTACTGACTTGAAAAGCAGTTGTTACAGGGACCAAACACGACAGTAAATGGAATCTTGGGATTTATCTAAACCAACTAAAAATGTTCTGAGCTGCCAACTAAAACTACCCTCCAATAAAAAAAAGGTACCATGTCCATATTGTGTTTTGAATATGCTGGAGGACACGTCATGAGCAAAATTAGCAGTCAGCACCGTGGTCAAGGATTTCCTCCCTGAAACTTCAGTGTACTGATGACAGTCTCAAAAACACAGATTCAGTCTTCCAGGGTTTCAAACATAACATCAGGAACTAAATCTGTTAACTGACAAGGTGGGTTTTCTGTATCATTATTCTTCTTAAGAATCAGTTTACAGTTTAAACATGTACAGCTGATTTTTTCCAATAGTATTAGAGTTTGCCACTGTGTAGTTTAGAGTAATTTGACAGGGCTTGAGTAGTAGGTGAGCTGGTGTGCTCCAGGTGCAGACAGTCAGAAAGGGTGGGTGGAGAGAGCGACAGGAGCCACACATTCTAGTGGGAGCAACAGTATAGAGTTATATCTAAGCCATTTTAAGGCAGGACAGGAATATTTTCATGGAAAAAACCTTTAAGTATTAACTCTGAAACAGATGGTGAGTTTTTAAGGGTTAGACCAACAAGCGAAATGGGATTTAAAGTACAATCACATACAAATTGGACCAACTTGTATCACATTCCATCTGAAACAGATCCTTTAGGAAGACTTTGAGGTTTTGTCGTACAAATAAGAACCATCCTATGAACTCTGAGCGTACCTTCAACCTCGACGGATCAGTGCAGGTGTAACTGCACTGCTCACAGCTGTAAGGCTTCTCTCCAGTGTGTATGCGAATGTGCCACGTGATCTTCTGCTTGTTCCGGGTTGAATACTGGCAGTCTGTGCATTTGTACAATCGTTTGCTTCCATGTGAGCGCAGGTGCTGCTCCAACACCAGCTGATGCCGACAAGCAAACTGACAAGTGCTGCACTTGAGAGGCTTGTCCTCTGGAGATCCCTCCTCATGTTCACTCAGAAGGTGTTGAGCCAATAGCTGTCTGGTTTTGGTAGCAAAGGGGCACAGCTGACACTGATGTGCCAGGTGGGTTCTCTGGTGAACCTCAAGGGTTTCCTTCGTCTCAAAGGACTCCTGGCACGTTGTGCACTTCACTTGGGAGTGCTTGTTCTGTTGGTGGGTCTTCAGAGCAACATCGCTGCTACATGTGTAGTCACACTGCTTGCACGAGAAACAGACCTGCAGCTGGTGCACACGTTTACAGTGGTTTCTTAAAGCAATCTCTGAACTAAAATGAGCATCACAATGAGTGCAGACGTGCTGCAACTCTCCTGTGTGGCATCGGAGTTTGTGTCGTCTTACATCGTCGAGTGTGTAGCCACTGAAGTCGCACAGCGAGCAGAAATGCGTGGGCTGTTTGTCATGGATGCGCATCTTATGCTGACGCAGTTTGGTCAAAGCCCCAAAGGTCTTGTCACACATGTCGCAGCTGTGACGACCGACTCCTGTGTGGAGAGATTCATGCTCTTCCAAGCGATAGCGTCTTGTGGTGCTAAAAGGACAGTAGCTGCAACGGTGAGGTCGAGTACCTTTGTGTTTAAGTGCAACGTGTTGTGTCATGCATCGTTCTTGTTTACAGGTGAAGGTACAGTGCTGGCAAAGCAAACGTTTACCTTTCACAACATTAAACTTTTCCTTGTTATGAACACACAGAACATGACGGGTCAAAGAAAGTTTAGTTTTGGCTACAAATGAACACTTGGTACACTGGACTTGATCTGGTTTCAGGCAGCCTTTCTTTTCATGGCTGTCTAATGCTCTCTTCTGATTGCACCTAAACGCACAGCTTGGACAACCAAAGATCTGACGTTTCTTAGAAGCTTCCACAGGATCTTCACCAACATCCTCCACCAGGTGTTCTTTTTCTTTGTCTCCATTACCATCATCATCATCATCCACCTCTGAAACGAACTGCTTCACATTTTTCCTTGAGATTTTTTTGCAGGTTGAGAGGTGCCGTTCAACAGTTGGAAGCCTGACTGATGAAAAACTGCACAGTTTGCATTTGAATTTGCCATCTTTTTTAGCATAAAGGGACTTTTTGTGCAACGGAACATTTCTGAGTTTGTCTTTGGAAGCTAATGTTTTTTTCATAAGCTGGTGGCATGTGGTTTTATCACTGACAACAACTCCTTCACAGTTTGTTAAATGAGATGCGCAAACTTCTTCTTGCTCATGAACTTCAGCACCTGTTAAATCTGTGGTATTTTGTGATAGAAGCTCCATCTGATCTGAATTTGTTCCTCCATCCAGTTGCTCGGATCTTTCCTTTGGAGTCAGACCTGCTTTTGAAATGCCTACAAATGTCCTTGTTTTTCGTGGAAGCGCTGGGCACTTTCTCTTAAGGTGGCTATCGAGGCCACGCCTCTGTTTGAACTGCGCGCCACAGTTCTGACACTGGTGACCCTTTATCCTGCCATAGCACAAAGCTTGGCAGTGATGTTTCAAAGCAGTCTCCTTAGAGGTTACATAAGAGCATTTGTCACAGCGATAAACGTCTTCAGTTGGCACCACGAGCATCTGCACTCGTCCCTCTAAAACCATGGCTTCTGCTTGTTCCTTGTCGTGCTTCTTCATAGCTTTCAGACGGACCTCAGATTCTAAAGGATGATTTTGCTCCAGTGTTTCAGCTTTGTTTTCCACCTCAGATGTGTGACATTCCCCAGGTCGACTTGTATTATTCAGAGGCTCGCAGCTGTCGTCCAAGTCGCTTTGTTCACACTCTCCTTCTGGCACCGCCACATCATCCTCCTCTGATGAACTAGAAAAGTCGGTCTTGTCCTGTGATGTGTCGGGTCCATTGCAATTTAAAGTGGGTATGCTAGCACAGTTTTCCTCCTCATTTTGTAAAGAAGGGGTTTGATAGTCAGTGGTTGACAGTGTAGTTAAAACCAGAGTACAGTACTCCTCTGGACTGTTAACAGATGGAGGACTATCAGAAATAACTTCCTTCACAACCTCTTGAGAAACAACATCAAAAATATCCACAGACTCTACAGGTTGTGAACTAACTTCTTTGCAGGCATCGTGATCTGCTGATCCAGCCAGAACAGATGGTTCTCTTTGAGCTGCAGACGGTGGAGGTCCTTCACAGGCGGACTGTTGTGGCTGCTCATGAGCGACTGAGGGTTTGATGTAAAAATCTTGCATGAACTCCGCTGAGTTCCGCTCCTTCTCCTTTGCGGCGTAGTTCTCCAGCCACGCTTTGTCCCCAGGTACGTACCCGTGAGCTTTCCTCTTGTGAAGGAAGAGGCTGATGCTGCTGAAGGAGGAGTAGAAGCAGAGAGCGCAGCGGAACTCCTTCAGCTTGGTGTGTTTGCAGTTCTCGTGGTTTTGAAGCGCCTGTCGGTAGCAGGTGGTGTACGCGCAGTATTTGCACTTGTACACCGCTGGCTGTTTCTCCTCCCCAGAATGTTTGGCCAGCATATGATTGCGGAGCTCGTATTTGCGCTTGCAGGCGTAAGCGCAGATCTCACACATGAGGGATTTGGCCTGATGTCGTAATTTGTGGCTGTTTAGCTGGTCCATGCGGTGACAACGATACGAGCACTGATCACAGGAATACCTAGGAGAGGAGACGGGAGGATTAGAACACTGCATCCCAAAATACTGCTCTCTGATGCATTTTAGTATTCTCTTTGGCTCATTCAATTAAATTATTATTTCCTTGAATTTCCAGCAATAGTCACTTCTTATGTGGTATTAAACACAGTGCAGTTCGGCCACATTTATGTGCATCTACGACTCATCTATGGACAAGGACAACACTTATGCACACATTTGGATGCTTAACTCTGCTCAGATTGGAGCTGGGTGAAGCTATGCTGGGAATTGCATAATGCCCAAACTAAACATGGCTGCAGTGCCAATGTAGAGGTTTTGTGCGAAAACACAGCAAAATAGCTGAACCTTATTGTTTGCACAGTAGTCTGTGCTACCTTAACTGCCAGAAATCTATGACTTTCTTACCTCCTTGTGTGACAGTCAGACTTTTGATGGTATCTCATGTGGTAACACTGCATTAAGTTTTAATCTATTACACAGTAAATATTGAAAATTGGAAGAAAAAAAAAAGGACTTTGGAGAATTATGTCGTAAATGAAACTGCTATTTATTGTTCAGATTTTTTTTTTTGTTGGAATTTACTTGCCAGATATTTGTTTTTATTCGGCACAACAAATCCAAGAAAAAGTAAAATAAAATAAAGGCGATGTTATATGAGAAACTTCTCAAGCATCTACCTGAGGTCTCCAGAGTGTTTCCTCATGTGGACATTGAGGTAGTGCTTCCACTTAGTGACGTATCCACACTCAGCGCACATGAAGTTCTTGTCATCTGAGTGAGTGAGCATATGTTTCGAGAGGTAGGACTCATCTCGGCACCTGAAGTCACACAGGCTGCACTTGTGGGGCTTCTCACCTTTAAAAAAAAAAACAAAGAGACTATTATGTCAATAGTAGTAGCTCACACAAGAACTCCCAGAACAGCAATCATGAAGATGAAGAGTCATGACAGAATCGATTCCATCCTCACCACTGTGCATCAGCATGTGTCGCGTCAAACCGCGTTTGTGCGAAGTCACGTAGCTGCACTGAGAGCAGCGGTGGATCTTCTCGTTGGCGTGCAAATGTCCAATGTGCTGCTCAAACTCCACAGGGTTAAACGTGACAAAGGAACAAAAGCCGCAGCAAAGCTTTTCGTCCCCCGGGTGGCCGAGCCGCTGGTGCTGGAGGAAGACGGTTTTATTGGAGCAAGAGAAGTCACACTCTGAGCAGTGGTAGGCCAGGTGTGTTCGATAATGAGCCTCCATGTCTGCGTCGCTTTGAAAGACGGCTCCGCAGGCGTGGTGGCGACATTCTACTGCCGTGACCCCGTGCGCTTCAGCAGTGTGTCTGACAAGGTCTTTGCGCACAGAACTCTGGAAAGAACAACCTTCTTGAAAGCAGGCCAGCGGCTTGCTGTCTGACGCGATGTGGTGCGTCTTAATGTGAGCCTTCAGCATCCTGCTCTGGTGGAAGCTTTCACCACAGGTGGGACAAAGGTAGCCGTGACTGCTCTTGCCGTCCTCCGTCTCATCAGCGTGCATGCTGACAAGGTGGCGGCGGATGGCGTTCCTCTCCACAGCAGAGTACTCACACAGGTGGCAGCGATGGAGCTTTTCTCCAGCCTCGCGCAGCCGGTGTACGCGCAGTTTGCTTTTGCTGGTGAAGTAACGCTTACAGGTGGGACACTGGAGACTGGGGTCGGGGTAATGGAGACGGAGGTGCTCCTGCAGGTGAGAGCGCATCTTGAAGCAGCGGCGACACTTTGGGCAGGTGTGGGTGCGGAAAATGTGCTCGGATCCCTCTGCGAGATATTCTAAGAACGACAACAGTTGCAAAGATTGTTTAAAACAAATCTGAGTATGATTCCTTCACATGTTAGAAATATTTAAAGCAAGAACAAAACAAGTTCTGTCTTTGTTACACTTTCTCCTCATCAGTTTACATTTTGCAAAACACAGTCCTGAAACAAGTTTAGATTAGACAGTTTGACATAGTTAGGCTTTTTTTTTTTTCCCTGCAGTAACTGGCTCAACAAAACCTAAAACCTCAGTCAGAGATGATGGGCATCATCACAGTGACTACCAACTTGTTAATCTTTTTTAAAAATAAAATAAAATAAAGCTCTCTTCCTGCTCCCATAAAAATAATGGCCTCTGCATGGACAAATCATATGCCACCTACTTCCGTCAAGAAGAACAGGTTGTTCTAATGGACAACTATGAGGAACGTAAGAAATGGACTATAGTTTTTTTTAAAAAGCACTGTTCCTACAAATGATGCAACAGAGGAATGTGGGTAGAAAATGGCTGACCGTCTAAGTTTATATATTTATTTTATTGTTCTCTGCATTTTCACTAGCTCCACATAGAGCTCTCAAACTTTAAATTCCATGCATTCAAACATTTCCAACATCATTTAGGTCTGACACTGTCCCTAATTAGATTAGATTATTTAGATTAGATTAGATTAGATTAGATTAGATTAGATTAGATATAATTTTATTGATCCATAAGGATACATAGAAATCACTTTAGCTTCAAAATTATATTTATGTTATTGATTGAATATTTGACAAATACTAATAGACAAATCCGTTCTCTGATATGAGTGTTGTATTCGCTGTCAGCAGTATATAATCAGCATCACCACTCAATTCAACTCAACACGTTTGCAGATATAACAAGTTTCCTCGACTGAGAATCAGTTCTGTTTATAGAGAATAAGATCAGATAAAGAATTAGTGACAGAGTGAAGCTTACAGCCAATTTAAAGCTCTGAACATAACCTCTTCTGGACCAGGTTAGGTCTGTTGCATAAGTTACCATGTTGATCTAGCCAGGTTAACAGAGATCCATGTTAGTGAGAATAAAATCTCTGACTTTGTGGTCAACATGACCCATTGATCTTATTGTGCAGTCGTCCTCTTTGGTGCTGTTGCTATTTGTTGATGATTTATTTGATTGATGAATAAATCGTGTGAAAATGCTGCAAAAACTGAACTTGTTTATGGTTACCAACAGAGTGTCTTTATGTCTCATAGAGAAAAACATTTTTGAGACTCCTGACTATTTTTTTCCTAAAAAAACTGACAAATGGTCACTACAATCTATCAAGTAAAAAGCGTACATACCTTTGGATGGCAGTGGTGCAGCATCCACTGTTGAAGATGTATTGTTCTCCACTGCCTGTCTTGCTCGTTTCGTATCATCTCCTTGTCTCTCGAAATCTTCCACATCCCCATCTTGTGATGACGATGACACACAAGCTGGGTTGGATTTCTGTTTCCTTTTTGGCCTGACAGAGACTTCAGGCAGGTGGCTTTCATCAGTGCATACGCTGGTGGCCTCAGGCTTGTTCCCTAAGAACAAATGTAAAATAGTCAGCTAAATCAAACCTCTGAACTTCTACAGTTTGATTGGAAAAAGAAATGACAGTTCTGCATTTGCATCTCATAGCATGAACTCCGTGTAGCGCCTGTTTACCTTGATGGTTGCTCTCCAAGAGGTGGTCGCTGAGGTCTTTCGTATTTTGGGCAACAAACTGGCAGTGAAAGCAGCCAAAGGGCATGTGGCCCTTCCAGTGACTTTCCATGTCAACCTGTGTAAGAAACGACTGTTTACAGGACCGGTAGGTGCAGGGAACAAGAGTCAGCCCATGCATGGACATCAAGTGGGCTTGATATTCCTGACGATCTGTGCTGCTGAACTGGCAGCCGGGCTCAGCGCAGGAGAACGGGCGTTTCAGGTCATTCTCACTGTGGCTGGTTTTAAAATGCTGTTTCAGAGCGCCTGCCTTTGAAAAGACCTCATCGCACTGAGAACACTTGTAACTGTCCAGCTGTCCTTTACAGGATGAAGATGTTTTCCTTTTTGAACAGAAGTGAGAGACAGACGTGTCACCATCTGAGAGACTTTGTCCACATTTTTCACATCGATGCTCCACTGCTTCCATGGTGTCTGAAAACACAGAAAAACTGTATTTAGCTAAAATATAACAGAGACAAAAGGACGTTTCTTGAGCATTTGTAAGTTATGCTTATGTTTTGTATTCATTTAGTGCACAGTTGCATATTTTACATTATACATTAAGCTATTATCATTTACAGCATACAACAGAAGTGAGTACACAGTGCAAAATCACACAAAAATCCAAATGGCATCACCTCTGAATAATTGCATTATTTGTAAGTTAACAAGTGGAGAATATCCTTTAGTGAATAAACACTTTAGAGAGACTGTATTTAAAAAAAAGAAAACAGGCCCCAAAGTAGAAACTCAATGCAATAAAAGTGAAAACCTCAGTGATCACCGACACACAAGATGGAAAACCTACAATCACTGAAACTAATCTGAGTACAGCTGTGATTTGCAATTAAACAACTGCCTGAACGTGTTTCGAGAATCAGCAGTAAACACCAGAACTTGCTCAGTTTTGGACCTGTGGACTGTATCTATCTGCATCATGGCTCTAGATGGACAAGAATGACTGTCGCAACTGAAAATCTGATGGTGAGACTTCACAAAGATGGAATAAAAATACAGGTAGAACAGGCATCAACTAAAACTCCTTCAAAACACAGTTGCAGCTGTAATCAGAAGGTACAGAATGAACCATAGCAGCATGAATCAGAGCTGCAGCGGTCTTCCTCCCAAAATAACATCACCACAGTGCACCACTTTCACAACCTAGCTCTACAAAAACAGATAGGCAGCTGCTCTAGACTTGACAGATGTGACAGCTCAAAGGTCACTGCGATGATGTAAACCTCTATGAACTGTGTCCAAGAAAAAAAAACACTTGCTCACTTAAAACGCTGCTATATGACATGAAAAGAAGCCTGATGTATGATGGGTGCACATCCTTTTGTCAGATGAGCTCAAGATAATTTGTTCTGCTCAGATGGGCTCCAGCATGTTCTTCATGAACCTGGCCAGGAGTAACAACAGTGAATGCATAGTCCTGACAGTGAAGCACGGCGACTGCATGAGTACAGGAGCTGTTGGGGAGATGACATTTAGACATGATAGACATGTCTGTGGATATACTAAAATACTGGCTGACAAGTTGACTGAAGTCTGAAGAAGCTCGGCAGAAAAGGAACATTGATGATCACCCAAAGCACACTGGAGTTTCTAAAGGCTAAAAATGTAACACTATGCCCCCTGAGTTTAATCTAATTTAACACCTTTGGGATATTTCAAAGAGAACTCCAGGATCCTCCATGCTGAGGAGGATGGAGTCTGTCATCACAAATAAAAGGAGGACATAACAGGTATTCAGGCAATAAAGGATTCAGATCTAAGTAATACAGGATGTAATGACTTTTGGTGCATTATGTTCCTGTTGTGGAGCTTGTATTTGTATTACAGTGAATCAAACCTTTAAAAAAAAATATTGGATACAAAAACAAATACCTGCTATTCAGCACAGAAGCACTGCAATTACTGTGATACTGTAATAATTTTTAATCATTACACTGTACAGGGATGTACTCACTTCTGCTGTATACTGCAGGTTTTAGCTGTTGGTGGCTTCCTGGATACTTCTCTAATTTTACACACAGACCAAACACAGATACAAACAATAAATAAATTAAACGGTTACTTACAACAAAAATGAAATTTCGAGTCAGACCTACCGCCTGAGTTTCCGCCGTCCTTTCTATCCGAACAACAAAATATCAAAAAATATTAGTTTAACCGTACGGCTGTCCTAGTTAGCTCCTAAATGTACCATCACTGCTTGCTTGCTTGGACTACCTCCATACTTCACATTAAGTGATAGTCGCTGAAGTTTCACTCACTTCTAACGATAACTTTCAAAGGCAGCAGAACGCTAATAACATCACTGATAGCGCTAGCTGAGCTAACACTAGTTAGCTCCTTTTAGCTGCTTTTCAGGGCTCAGGTCTCAGTTCATTTTAGCAATTATTTTACATGTGGTAGATCTAACTGTCTACACTTAATTGCACATTGTACATTATCCGCCAAAAACATTTATCTATCCTTGTCATCTTAGCCTGCAAGCAAAACAAAACACTGCTAGGGAAGAGGAACTAATATTCGTGAGCACTGGCGAACAGTCGGAAGATTATTCATCAAACACAGGAAGTGTAGCAGAGGTCGCTGTGCTCCAACCATCACGGCACCACATCCATACATTTCACGCATGGGGGAGTTTGGGTAACTAAAGTGCTATATTTCAAGACGGTTTGTGCACGGGAATCAGCGAAGCACTTTACAGGAGCCGTGTGAGATGAGGGCAGATAAAGCGAGTCGAGGGAATATTTATTTTTTTTTAACTGTAACGCCTTTGTCATATTAGCTGGTACCAGCTGTCATCAGATTTTATAAATACCAGCTAGCCAGAAGACCAGAGTCTTTCATTCAGAAACAGACTGGATTATCACTCAGATCCGCAAATGAGTTGGATTACCATGTGTTGGTCTGCGCTCCTACAAAGCGTTACAACAACTGTGTAAAGGCTGATTCCTCTTGAAGAGTGCTGAAGCCATAGCCATGCCTCTGTCAGACTTTCTGGACGGCCTGAAGGACAACCCCTACTTCGGGGCTGGCTTTGGACTGGTTGGGATTGGGACAGCGTTGGCAGTGGCCAGAAAAGGTGCCCAGGTGGGGATGATCTTCTTCCAGAGGCACTATATGATCACTCTGGAGGTCCCCAGCAGGGACAAGAGCTACCACTGGCTGCTGAGCTGGATCACCAAGCACGCCAAACACACTCAGCACCTCAGCGTGGAGACCTCCTACCTGGCACACGAGAGTGGACGGGTTCACACGCAGTTCGACTTCCACCCGAGTCCTGGGAACCACATTATCTGGTCAGAAGAATTCTCCACATATATTTGTTTAATCATAGTTCATGATAGTACCACAGTACATGTTACATCAAGGCTGGATGCAAATGTAGAGTTGGGATTTTTCTGACAGAGAGTGCAGTTTGATTTGTGCTGTATTTTTTGTGAAGGTAAATCTCACTTGAATATCTCACTTGATCGAACATTAACACATGAGAAACCACCTGAAGCGTGATTGTCACACAGGGAAGACAGAATGAATTTATAAACCCATTGACACAACAGTGAAAAGTCTCGATTCGACATGCTGCAAAATGTATGAGGGGAATCTTTTAAAATATAAGACTGTGCTTATGATGGTTGAACAACTGCACACATGCCTGAACCAGGTAGTATAGAATGATCCATCGGCAAGCCTAAACAACCCCTGAAAATTAAAGCATTCACAAATAAATAAAATTGAATCACAGTGTTAGTTTCACTTTGTAACAGCCACACCTTGTTCATCCTAAATTGCAGCCTTTGTGATTCTTTGTAATTGTGTCAAACTGCGATCTGAATTTGAAATCAATTAATTGTTTATCCTTACATTAAATAAACAAACTCAGGTTAAAGTTTTACATCACAATATTAATCTGATTGATGGTTTACTTTGTCAACAGTACAACTTGTGACACTTTCATCCGTTGTGGTCTGCAGGTATGGGAGAAAGTGGATTAGGGTGGAGAGGACGAGAGAGAAGCAGATGGTGGACCTGCACACTGGAACCCCATGGGAGTCTGTCACTTTCACCGCTTTAGGCAGAAACAGACAAATCTTCTTTAATATCTTACAAGAAGGTAAAGGTTGACAGTACACACCTTCCAACAATATGTCCCCCAGTCTTCCCAAATGAGAGCTTCGCTTTCCCCAACTGGTCATTTAATGCAACTGTCAATCATGTTTTGCAGCAAGAGAATTGGCCTTGAAGCAGGAAGAAGGAAGGACGGTGATGTACACAGCCATGGGCGGAGAATGGAGGCCCTTTGGGTTTCCACGGCGACGCAGACCCCTCAGCTCGGTGGTGCTGGAGGCGGGTGTGGCTGAAAGGATCGTAGATGACGTGAAGGACTTCATCGGAAACCCAAAGTGGTACACAGATCGGGGTAAAATATCCCTGGGCTCAATAGTATTTGTTTT